GGCAGAGCTGGTGTTGAACCCAGGCCTGTGAGCTCCTGAGCTAGACTGCACTGCCAGCCCCGGGTGCTCGGCTGGATTTGCGATCTGCCTGTTATGTCTGAAATTCTTCCTCTTGAGTCTGAATTACATGAAATCCACTCTTATCCCCTGAGTAAAGCTTAGCTTTTTCTTTCAAATTGATTTTTAAAATATTCATATAATGCACAAATACGTGGACAAATTTAAGTTAAAACATCACATAAAAAATGAAGGTCATGGTTTTCCTTGACCAACACCCCTAAATTCCTGTTCTTTCCCCATTACCCACTTCACTGGATCAGTTTAGTATCTTTTCAGATGTTTAAAATTTAGTTGCTTGTTATATATGCTTTGAAAATATATGATAGTGTTTTGTACTTTTCCTTTAAAGAAGAAAACACGTTAATTGTATGATATCATAGTTCAGAGGTTCTCAGACTTTCTTGGTTTATGGCTCTTTCAGTATCTTAGTAATTATTTCGTGGTGCCCTAGATCAAAAGAATAGCTAACAGTTCCGTCTAGACATCTAACATCTAGACAGTTCCATCTAACATCAAGAGTTAGATCCAAACAACTTAATAAGTATTTATGTCCTAGCACAGCCCTTATGGCCTTAGTAGCCATTTAAAACATTACACACATGGAAATAGTCTTTTCAGTTCATTCTTAGCCACAGTCGCTTGCTAACAGGCAGCATGTGCCTGTTGGCTCCATGGCTTTCAAACTCTGGGATCAGATCAGACACTGCCACACTTACTGTCTGCTCCACACCTATTTTTGCATGGTACTTGTTTTTAATTACAGTAGCCACTAGAAACCCAGCTTGCAACAAGTATGACATCGAACAAAATAGAGCATTGATCCAGCAATCCCACTCCTGGGTATGTACCCAGAGGAAACTCTAATTTGAAAAGATACATGCACCCCAATGTTCATAGCAGCACTGTTTACAATAGGGAAGACATGGAAACACCTAAATGTCCATCAACAGATAACTGGATAAAGAAATTCTTGTGTATATACAATGGAATACTGTTCAACCGTAAAAAAAAAAAAAGAGAGAGATTGAAATAATGCCATTTGCAGCAACATGGATGGACCCGGAGATTATCATACTAAGAAAAAGACAAATATATGATATCACTTGTATGTGGAATCTAAAAAAGATAATATAAATGAGCTTATTTACAAAATAGAAACAGACTCACAGACAGAAAACAACCTAAGGAGAGGTGGAGGGATAAATTGGGAGTTTGGGATTTGCAGATACTAACCACTATATATTAAATAGATAAACAGCAAGGTCCTACAGTTTAGCATAGGGAACTATATTCAATACCTTGTAATAGCCTATAATGAAAAAGAATATGAAAAGGAATATGTGTGTGTGTATATATATATATATGTGTGTATATATATATATATATATATACTGAATCATCGTGCTGTACACCAGAAATTAACAACATTGTAAACTGACTAAATGTCAATACAAAAAGGAATAGAGCATGTTTTAATATTGGAACTGTGGACCTCCTTGAGCTCATAGTTTGCACATTGTCTAATAGATGTCTAGTATGGCTGCATTTCCCTGGGACACTTCAGTGCACAATTTGGGAACTAGGTGTGGCCATGGGTGTACATTTTGCAGTTCACTTTTTTTTAACCCACAATGTGCCTTAGGGATTTGACCATGCTATACTCATAAAGAGCTACCTCATATAAAACACTGCTGCAGAATCATCCAGAATTTATTTACCCATTTTATTTACCCATGTTCCTGATTATGGCCGCTAATGTTATTGCTAATATTTTTGTAATTTTATGTGATCTTGCAGTGAAAATCCTTGTTACGTTCCTCTTTGTTCCTGTGGCCAAATCAGAGATTAAAGGGATTGCTGGGCGATAGGCCAATCAGGTTTTTAATTTCAACACAAACTAATAAATTGAGCTTGATCCTCTTGGAAGAAATGATTTCCTGTAATCCCTTGAAACATGATTACTGCTGGATTATTTTTCTTAGGGCTCTAGACCCTATGACTCTCACTGGGGAAGAATAGCCGGCTTGGAAATGCATGTAGTGATTACACTGTAGACAAAGGAGTGGGAGCCTCAGAGGCAAGAGTAGGATGTGAATAGGCTGAGAGGAAGAGGAAGGTCAGAACAGATGAGAAACTGCAGGGAGTTTTTTGTAGGAAGGCCAGTTCATTTAGAGTAAATAATTTATTTAGGGCACAGATGGCCAAGACCTTGCCGGCATGCCTTGAACGTTCCCTGCCACTCCATGGCAGACAGAGCCAATCCACCGTGGCACTCATTGTCACCAAGCCTTCACCTAGTCTTGGAGTTCTTACAGACCTGGGAGATTACCCACCAACTAGCCAGTGTGGGCACACAAAATGAAACTTACCTACCATTCCTGGAGGCACAGAGAAGGTAGGGAGGTAAGCTGAAGTTAGGTAGAGAAGGGCTAAGAAGTTTAAAGAATGCCAAAGTAGGAGAATTTGGAAAACATGTTTATATTTCAAACTGAGTGTGATCCGCCTCCTTGAAACAATAGCATTGATCTTAGGCTGCTGCCATTTCTTTTTCTGCCTTAGTTCTAAACTATCCTATTTCTAGAGAAGTAATTTAATCCCCAGAGGCTCCGTTTATTATTCCCTTCCCTGAGTCCCGTCTATTGAAAGAGATGTTCTACCAATTAAACTCTGCTTACAAAGAGCAACAGCATCAGTAAACAAGCGTCACTGAGTATTTTTCACATGCCAGGCACGGTTTAAGCATCATATGTATTTTAATTTTCCATTCACTTTTAAAGTCCCCACAACAGCCCTATAAAGGAATTCCCATGTTATAGTTGTGAGGTTGAGACAGAGATGAAACATTTTGCACAAGGTTATCTAGCTAGTGAGTGGTATAATCGGTACCTTTCTCCCTGTTCATTACAACTGTGTAAAGTCCAAGCTTACCTTCTGACTGAAAGGAGACAGCCAAAAGTAGGGTGGTGGTTTCCAGTGGCCAGGAGGAAGGAGGGGATGGGAGTTTTTGTCTGATAGGTATAGAGTTTCAATTTTGTAAGATGGAAAAGAGTTCTGGAGATGGATGGTGGTGCTGGCAGCACACCCCTGTGAATGTATTTAATACCACTGAACTGTACACTTCAAAAGGATTAGGAGGGTGAATTTTATGTTATATTTTACCACATTAAAAAAAATCATGGAAAAGAAGAGATAACCAGGGTTCCCAACATAAGTTGGTATAATTTTGTCCAGAAGCAAAGAAATACGCTATTTTAGTTTGCTTGTGCAGCAGGTCAGGGGTAAATGCATGGTTTTCTGTCAGATTCTTCGTTTAGAACAGTTAGATTTATTTTAACTAGCTAAAAGACCCCTCATTCTTGTTTAAAGACTACAGGGATCTGAAACCCTAGATTGGAAACTGCTGATTTGACCCTCAATTTCCCAGTTCCTGGGGAAATAGTGTTCACCGAGGGGAATAATACATTTTAGAGGGAACTGATGGGTCAGGAGGCCCCGTGCCTAAGGTTAAGGGCCTGTGCTCTGGAACCCCACTCACCAGTGGCTTCAGCATTTCTTCCCTGAGTGACCTTTGGCAAGTTCTTTAACATCCTGAGCCCCAGATTTCTCATCTGTAAATGAAGTGATAGATATATATATAAAGTAGATAAATAAATAAAATAAAATAAAATAAAAAAACAATAAGGAACTACTGTAGAGCATAGGGAACTATATTCATTTCTTGTAATAAGCTATAATGGAGAAGAATCTGAAAAAAATACATATGTATGTATATGTATAATCTGAAAAAAAAGTTGTATACGTATAACTGAATCACTCTGCTGTACACCTGAAACTAACATTGTAAATCAACTGCGTTTCAATAAAATTAAAAAAAAACTATAAAAAAATTGGAGTGGTAGTCATGGCTCATGGAAAGTCTTGGAATAGCCCCTGGCACTCCGTGCTCTCAACAGTGCTGGCTCCTATTGAATTTTATGATTATGTATTTGCATCAAACAATAGGGGTCATACAGAACTTTGAGGCTTCCTGGATGCCACAGATGAGATAGTGAGGTGTAGGTGCTCAGCCGATGGTACGTTTCATCCTCTTCTTTCCAGTATCCATCAGTGTGAGGAGGCCTCGTAGGTGAGGGCTCCCTGGCATCCTGCTGGATACCCAGCGCACCCCTCTTATCTTTATAAACTTCAGGTGTATAGAGTGGTGCTTCCTGACATTCCTTAAGCAGCTTCAGGGCCATCGTGGTTAGTGATAACAGAGGCTGCCCTGATCGCAGCATGTTGAAGTGACCTTCACACACGATGTGGAGAGAGCTGGTCACTGGGGCCAGCACTGTGTCTGCTTCTAATAATTCTGAGCTACTCAGATCTTTGGGCTTCTTCGTTTTGCATTGGAGCTGATTTTTCTTCTTGATGGCCTCAAGCCTCTGAAATCAGATATTTAAAATAATTTTTTCCTCCTACTGTGAAAGGAGAATTGCCTGTGTGTGACGGGGCTGATGCTGGCTTGGCCCCCTGTTAACCTGAAAAGATGCTGCCTGGACTGTGACTCTTAGAGGTCATAGATGTCAAAGTCTTCAGCCATCTGTGGCTTGCCCAGAGCAATGGAGCTCAAAGAATCACTTAGGAGCCGACTAGAGCCACTAGAACATCCCACTTAAGTGCATATTTTCTCCCTTGTCCTTCTCTCCTAGCAACTGTGTGACTCAAACACAACTCAGAACGTGTTAATTCTGTGTAATTTGTACCCTGGCCTGTGGTATTATTATTGCCCAATTGTTCCTGTTTATCTTCAGAGGGTGGAACCCTGGGGAATATCTGTGGGGAACTGAGGCTGTACTTAGGAAAAAAACATATCTTTATTAAATTCCCTTTAGTTATTAAGTATGCATCTTATGGTCCTGTCATTTGACCCACAATCTCTGCTTTTTTTTTCTCCCCAGCACTGGCTTGAACCTAACAAGTCCATCTCCAAGCAAATGAAATGTAAGTTCACTTCTGCTATGAAATGTACAAAGATAGACTCTATTTTTTTTTATTTTTTAAACAAAGTTTCTCCTGCCTAGGGAAGAAATGGACGAAGGTGAAGCCCTGGGGGTGGGGCTGCTGCCTCCCAGTGAAAGCTGTGTAGCTTCCTCTCTCTTACTTGCCGGCCTTGGTCCTCCCTGCAGTCACTATTCCTATAGCTGCTTGTGTTTTCCCCCACGCCCCACCATCTTACCCTCATATTTCACGTTTGAACAGGTGCATTGGTGCCTGGTTCCTTTTGATTGTGGGGGTTGCTAGTAAATGGTGCAGGGTGGGAGGTACAGTCATCAGGGGCAGGTGTGGTGATGAGAGAAGCAGGTGTATTTTGAAACTGAAATCTTGCTGGTGACTTTACTGAAGATGGCATCATTCTTTTCCACCTCTCAAGATCCATAATATATTTTTCTGGGTAATTACTTTCAAGTGCTAGTATTCTGAACAGCCTTTTTTTTTTTTCTCCTGGTGAGCTCTCTACAATATGGAAATCTGGTCATCCACCTGGAGCATTGTGAGGAGGGCGCTGACTCGTAGTCCTGGGTGACATGACGTTTTGCCCTGGCCACCCATGCCAAACTATAGTCAACTTGGTTTTATTTATGGTTTGGAGGAGAGCTTCTGAAATGCACCCCAGAAAGTCACTGCCTGCCCTGAAATCCATTTATCCCTTTATGTCAACTTTCCCAGGGTTCTCAAATGTGGGCAATAAATCAGTTTCTCATCAGAGATCAGGTTAGCACATATTATGTCACTTGTCATCATTCAAGGGATTTTTTTTTCTTTTTTAAATATGAAGAAATTATTCTGGGCAAGATTTTTAGGTCGGGGGGGGAGGGACAGAGAAACTGAACGTGGATGGCAAACTAGTAACCATATTTATTCCCTGACTCTCTTCTTTTTCCCTCTGTTCCTCTCCCTTTTTCTCTCTCTGTCCTCCCTCATGCCTCTCTCTGTCTGTCCTTCCCATCCTTTTCCCATCTCTCAAGAACACATCCTGTCTAGCCAGTGCAGGAAAGACAGCCAGCCGGGTTGTTCTGGGGCAGGCTAACACCCAGGGCTGCTGTGGACCAGGGGGGCAGCAGGGAGGGGACAGGAAAGATGTATGAGGTGCAGACAGGGACAGCAGTGCACATGGCAAGTTCAGAGAGGTCAGGCTCTTGGGGTGAGGCTGGAATAGAGTCGGGATGAGCATCCAGGAAGACGTAGCAGAGGGCAGAGGTATCAGGAAGCTCTGCATACAGTGACGTGTGGGATAATGAGAATGAACTAACTCATCTGAGGAAAAAAACAGTGGATGCCTGGCTTTTATCCCCTAACTACAAAATTTTGATATTTTTGTTTATATATTTTAAAATATTTAGATACTTCTCCAGTCAACTTGTTTATAGTAAATGGTTCTTTGACCTTGACTCTTAAATGTCATGAAATATTTTCCTGAGGCCACACACATTTTTGAAATACAACTTTTATCACTGAAGTATGACGTATACATTTCAACACTTAATAGAAGAGAAAGTTTTTAATTTGTGAAGAATTTTCTCCTTAAGAGCTTTGTGTCGACAATTAGTAAACCTGAACAACCAACTCAAAAATATTCTGTTTTGTAAAAGTGGTTTAAAGAAACATGACTACTGGTCAGTTTCATTCTAATGACAAATAGAATCTGAATCTGGAAAAAAGAAGTGTGTAAAATTCAATGTCTAAACCAGACACGGTGACTCACTGATTCTAGGAACTGGCAAGGGTCTTACCTGTCACCCAGTCCTCTGTTGTATTGTTCAGGATATTAGGGAATAAAAAATGACACAGTCCTTCTCCAGATACAAACCTAGTTTCGTTGTGGATGGTGTTTTTTAGTATTAAGAATTTCTCGTGTTCTTGTGCATATGTCCTGGGAATATTAACAATAGCGTAAACTCCAAAAAAATTTAAGCTAGGGCTTATAGATTGTTAACCCAGAGAAACTGGGTCCAACCCTTGAGACTCATCCATGGATTTATCAACAGGATTTGCAGAATCCCAGGCAGCGTCCTCCTTGGCTGTGGGTGTGCTTTTATGTTCCGACTGTCTCTGAGTGGGCAGTGAGAGTGTGATTCCTGGGAGGAAGAGTTTCCTCTATTTCCATCTCACACACCTATGATCACCAACGTTCAGATCCTTTGCCCTGATTTTGTTAACATCCCTCTGACTATGGGCATTCCCCAGGGTTGGGAGCTGTTCTGTTAATCAGCTGTTCTGATTAACAAACTCTGTACAAAGACATTATTATATGTTACTAGTATTTTTTTTTGCAGATAGGAGATTCATATTTTATTTCTCCAGTGACATATTTACAGTTGAATATAAATTAAAGGCCTGCTTGCGCACCAAAGGCAGGTCCTTTAGGTGGTTCAGTCAGAGAGGTAAGACTTCCAGCTGGCTCACAAGAGGAGCATCCTCTCCTTGGCCCAGGTTTTGGGATTTTGCCAGCCTTGAGTTCATCAATAATTTCTTCAGTATCCTTTAGTGTCAGATCCTCATAGTAGTTGTCATTTATTTGAACCACCAGTGTGTTTACACAGGCCCCTAAACATCCCACTTCTGTAAGAGCGAAGAATTTGTCAGATGTAGTCTCCCCAGCCTTTATCCCAAGCTTTTTCTGAATGGCCTCCAGTATGCTGTCAGAGTTTCAGAGCATGCAAGGGGCGGTAGTGCGGACTTGAATGTGGTACTTTCCCACTAGCTTCCGATTATACATTGTATAAAAAGTTGCTGCTTCATAGACTCTCATTGGAGGTACTTGGGAAATTTCTGCAACCTTGTTGGTGGCAGAGATGGGCAGCCATCCATTCTGTCTCTGGGCTAAATCCAGCACTGGAAGCATAGCTGCTCTTTATGCCCTTCTGGGTAGTTGTTTGTTTGTTTACAATTGCCTCTGTCCTCTTATAGTTTTCTGGTGTGAAATCAAATGGGGTATCTGGGTTATTCTCAGGCGTATCTCTGTGCACAAGTAAGGCTCCTCCAGCTCCATTTTGCACAGCAGTCATGCAAGTTTCTTGTATGTCTTCCCCGCTGGGTGGTGAGGTCCGCCGCCCAGGCCTGGAGCATCGCGGAGACAAACATGGTGGGCCGAACTCTGTTACGAGTATTTAGAAAGAATCTTTCAATAACATCATGTTTGTGGTTTTTCTGGCAGTTTAGAAAAGTTAAAATGAAAACCAAAACTATTTCCTTTCTCTTCCCCCTTACATCTCCATGCTTACTCCAAAGGAATAACTACTGTTAACAGTATTTCATACCTCCTTCTGGGAGTTTTTATGTATATATAAGCTCCCCCAGCATATATAAGGCCTTTTATAAACAAAAATGAGACCAGTCTCTCTATATTATTCTTCAACCTGTTATTTTTCCTTAATAATTTTAAGAAAATTGAAGGAACTTTAAGAAATTTGAAGAAGTTAAACTTTTAAGAAATTTTAAGAAACCTTTTTTCTCCCAATATCAGTGATTGATGATTGGCCTCATTTTACAAATGATTTTCTGTCTGTTAATCATATGCATCCCTGTAATTTACTTACTTATAGATATCAACATTGTTTCTAATCTTTCCCTGTTATAAATTATGCTGCAGTAAACATGCCTATATGAATATTCTTACATCTTGTGCAAGTACATCTGTACCAGAAGTTCCTGGGAGTGGAGTTGTTGGATCAAAAAATGTACACACTTTATATTTCCTTGCGATAAATATCCATCCAAGAGCTTATAGTAATTTACTCCACTCATGTTACAGGAGAGTTGTTTCCCTGAAATCTTGTTGAAAATAGGTATGATCAAACTTATTTTTATGGTGACCTCAAGTTTGTCAAGGAAGAGAAATATTTAATTGAAAACCTAATTAATTGGACAGTTACTTAATTATAAATTTTAAAGTTGAGAAACTTCTTGAAGTCTTACTTCTCCTCTGAACTTAGGAGCTACTTTAAATTTTATTTTTAAATGAAGATATAGTAAAATTGACTTAATTTCGTAGTAAAGTGCTATGAATTTTAACGCACATATAGGCTTGTGTAACCACCACCACAGTCAGAATACAGCACACGTTACCCCCAAAACCTCCCTTGTGCCGTTCCTGTGTAGCCACACACTCTCCCCTCACCACCAACAACCACTGTCTGTTCTCTGTCAATGTAGTTTGTATCTTTTGGGAATGCCAGATATATTAAGTCATACAGCTTGTAATCTTTTGAAACTGGTTTCTTTATCTCAGCGTTAGTAAGTCTGAGATTCATCCAACCTGCTATGTTTATCAATATATGATAAACCATGAGAATAAAAGTTGGTCTTTGAAAAGGTCGAGAATGTTGATAAACTTCTAGCAATGCTGATGAGGAAAAAAAAGAGAAGACACAGATTACCAATATCAGGAACCAAAGAGGGGCTGTCACCACAGACCCCACAGAACAAGTCTAGGTACATAAGGCAGCTTAGATGAAATGGACCAAATCCTCAAAAACCACGAATTACCAAAACGCACCCAATATGAAATACATAACTTGAGTGATTTTACAATTTCTTAAGATACTAGGTTTAAAGCCTTCCAGAAAGGAAATCTTCAGCCCACTCACTGCCACTGTTGGGGCTGCCGGGACCCCCATCCGGTTTCTCAGGTCTTAACGAGGGGCTTCTCTTGGAGCTCCTAAGTCTGTGCTGATGCCCAGGTGTCTCTGAATTCTGTCCTGGGGACACCACAGGGGGAAATGTGGTGAACTTGACACTGGTTCACTGGTCCAGTGAATTCTTGTCTTTGTTTCCAATCTGCCTGCTACTACTTACGTTTCAGGGACCTGAAATAGCTGCTGCGCATGTTTGTCCAGGTTTTATAGCTGCATTCAATGAGAGGGTCAGGGTGGGGTGCAATTAATGCATCCTACCCGGAACTGAAACGTTAAAGTCAGCTTTTAATCATTCCTTGTCTATTA